TTAATTATCGCTCTTTGTCATAAATTCAGCTTCCTTTCATTACGGCTTCTCAATGAAAATGCTTTTTGATCTATCTTTGGTAAAGGTGATTCATTCTTTAAAAGGGCATATATTTCTCTTTTTCAAAGAAGGGACTTACTCTGTTTTTGCAATATTTTAACTATTCTGTTATTGATGGGCATTTAGGCTGATTTTATGTTTGCTGCCAAATTTCATCATTGTAAAATTAACTTTACTTTGACATTTCTAAAATTTAGATATGTTTAAAAATAGATGCTTTATTTTTTCATATAGCACTTTAACCAACTGACATATTGTTCATTGTCTTTGTCCTCTCACTAGAAGGCAGAAATCTTTTTTGTTTTATTTTACCACTGTATTCCTACCTTCTAGAACATTACCCGAAACAGAGTACTTAATAAATATTTGTTGAATGAATGAAGAAACATTTGAGCGTTTACTGTGGTCCAGACACTGTGCTAAGCCCTCGCTGTCCTTGAATCATTTTGTCCTTACAATAGCCATATAAGGTTGCTATCTAATGAGGAAATTAAGGCTTAAGAGAGGGTTAATTTGCCCAATGTCACTTAGTTTATAAATGGTAGAGCTGAAATTAGAACTTGAATCTACCTCATTATGCCAGATCGTAGGCTCTTCAATATTATACTTTTCTCACCAACAAGTTGTATTTAGTTTTTTATTTAGTTTTTTTTCTTGTTTATTTAGTTTTTTCTTTCTTTTTAAACAGGAAGAAGAGAATTTATCCAAAGATTAAAACTTGAAGCAACCCTAAATGTGCATGATGGCTGTGTAAGTAATAGTTAATTTTTAACTCTGAAGGGCTTTAATACTACATGTTTAAATGTTATGAAATGCCCTAGTCCTCCCCGAAGGGATTGTGACCAACAATAATACAACGGAACAATAAAGTTTTACCTTAAAACATAAAACTGGGCCTGCTGTGGTGGCTCTCGCCTGTAATTCCAGCATATTGGGAGGCCAAGGTGGGAGGATTGCTTGAGGCCTGGAGTTTGAGACCAGCCTGAGCAACACAGTGAGACCCCATCTCTACAAAAAAATAGAAAAAAAAAATTAACGGGGTGTGGTGGCAGCACGCCTGTAGTCCCAGCTACTCAGGGGGCTGAGGCAGGAGGATAACCTTTAGCCTGGCAGTTGGAGGGTGCAGTGAGCTACGATGATGCCACTACACTCTAGCCTGGGCAACAGAGCAAGACCCTGTCTAAAGAAAACCAAACAAAAACCCATAAATCAAATGATTATTGATATAGTTGGATTAATATCTACCATATTTGTTGCTGTTTTCTATTTGTTACCCTTGCTCTTTGTTCC